ACTCCAAGGTCAAACATGCTGGTGCAGCATGTTTGACCTTGGAGTGCGGGTGACTATCTCAATACTTCCAGGTATATACCAGACACACATCAATAATCAGCCTTAGATAAGGTGTAGAACAATAAATATTGACCTTAATTCTCTGCTAGGATAACAGATTGATCATTCTCACATCATGCATATTTAGGTGGACCTATCTGTAAAATTCACATTTCACATGAATCAGTATTACTTTAGGTTAAAAAGTACGTTTTGCTAATCACAACCACCTCTACATCTGATAGGAATCTACCTCCAATTGAAGCTTATAGTCCAGCTACAGTGCAGTACTGCTCTAATGTTTCAAGTTAGCATTATACTGTATATAGCAAAAAAATGATACTGACACTCAATAGCCATGCTCGTAATCCTCTTATGCTGTTAATCTGTCATGACTACATATTTGCTGTGTGTTTCTGCATATTAAAGAATGTCAGCTGGGGAGCATACCTTTTCTTTTTTTTTCTAACACTTTATTAAAAAATGACTCAAAGAACAATTACCTCTTGCTTTCCATAATTACAAAACAGCCTCATCCAAAGTCTCTTTTGTGACCTAAAGCCTAGGCAAAAATCACATGGTTTATGGCTACCAGGGAAATTGAAGGTGTTAATACATTGTTTTCAAGAAGACAGGCTCTGTCTGGTGGACTTGCAGTGAGTTAAGATGGTCAGCAAGTCAAAGCTAGAAACCAGAGCCTTTATATGTGGAATGCTGATGTTAAAAATAGCAAACAATCCTTGTGTCCTTTTAATTCCATTTGTAACAGCTTTAGGTCGTTATGTGCTTAATAGTCACGTTGTATGCATATGTTCTTAAATGCGCAAACTTTATATGCATAGATATTCACATGCAGTTTGTATTTAAGATAGCTGTTGGACCCCGCTTTTGGTCATTATGAAATCTGCAAGGTTAGGCACCCAAACTCGCAGTGAGACAATCTCCTTTTGGGGCGGCTCGCTTAAGGGTGACGTCCGTACTCTTTGACAGCCGTCACTGTCCAGGGGCTTGTTTGCACACCCTGCATCCTGCCTGGGTACTGTGTAGTCAATAGTATAGTTTTCCATGCTAAGGATCATTTTCTTAGCAGCTAGCGGCCGCATTCGTTTTCCTCACCAATGTGGCCTACTGCGCAATGTCCTTCATAAGCATCTCCTAATCCATAACATGTTCAGATAGTCCCTAACAGACCTCACTGTTGTTTTTTTAAAGAAAACCATAGTTCCCTTTAAAGTAATAAGAGAAGTGGTTTACCTCTTGCTGAGCCGTATCAGTTCAGCATAGATATGAATGGGCATCGTTGTACATTTGACGTGCACTGTGTTTTTAAGAGTGGATACCCATTCATGTCTGTGCGTTACTGATCCAGCTCAGCAGAGAATAGATATGCTGTGATTCTCTATTATAGAAGGGCATCATGTGAAAGCATTTGTCATTTAGCTTAAAGAGGAACTCCAGTTATTTTAAACGTTAACCTGTACAGTGGGGCTACCCCTGCACTGCAAGGGTTAAATGCTTGTTTTGGTTTGAGAAGATATACTCACCTGTTCCTTGTTCCTGTAGTGGTGAGTGCTTACCTCTCTCACCATCCACTTTGGCTATGGTATGTCACTCAGCAGCCTCACATCTAATGCCAGTGAATGGGCCTGCATTAGACATGATTACATCAGCAGAGCTTAGACTGCTGGAGCCCAAGCGAGAAGAGGCTGTCGGAACTGGTCTAGCAGCTAGGTGGGATCAAGGATCAGATGCATATACATTTTTTTTATTTCGGCCCCTAGACCAAAATAAGCAGTTAACCCTTGCAGTGTGTGTGTGTGTGTGTGTGGGGGGGGGGGGGTACATAGTTGTACATAGTACAATTTATGACCTAAAGTATAATTGGGGGCTCACTTTGCCTTGGTAAAGTGGTTGCAGATCCACAGGAAAGGAAAGGGAACTTGCTGGTACCAGCTGGCATCTTTGGATTATTTTGAGAGCTCCTGGATCCTCTAATTGTAGGGCACACCATTATACAGGTATTGGCCCCAGCTGCGGTCAAGAAGTTCTAGTCCACCACTTCCGCATTTTCTTGGACTATTTTTATAAATGTACGTAATACGTACTGTTGCAGAATTTTTTCAGTGCCTCCAGATTTGCATTTTCTGCTTTCCAGACTCTCAATTTATTTAAAAGCCCTTTGAATAAAAAAACATTTTGTTTACCTGGTGACCGCAAAAATGAATAACCTCAGCTAAGGCAGAAATGAATCAATAACGTATTGTCTTCTCTTTGTTCAGCTCCAGAGCAAAGTTTGGAGAACACACAAGCTCCTAACGAGACACCTGCCGAGAATATTTCTGATTCACCGTTCCGTCAGCCTTCTCGCTCATTTTCTGTAGTGTTTGATGAAGACAAGCCCATAGCAAGTAGTGGTACATACAACTTGGATTTTCCTGCCGTCGTTTCAGCAAAAGTTATTTCTGCATCTTCAGAATCCTCCTCCAAAACCCGTCGCAAATCCACGGACTCCGTGCCTACTAGCCGTAACACTTTGTCCCGCTCACTTAGTTTGCAGGCTGCTGATTTCCAGCTTGATGATGTGGTGAGTGGTCAAGGAGGATCTGAGAGTGCTGGTAATACTCTTCGCAGGTCTAAGAAGGCAAGGCCTGCATCTCTAAAGAAAAAAGCAGCAAGCGCTAAGAATCAGACAGAGGCTGTTATCACCAAGGACACTCAGTCATTGTCAACAGGGCCACAAGAAGCAGAAGAGCCCAAAAGTCTACAGGGTACATCTGCTCCATCACCTCCTCCAACAGATACAGAGCTGCCTTCAGGTAGAGAGCAAGAAACAACATCTGTTTCTTCCTTAGAGGTTACCTCTGTGGATCCTGAGCTGAGCAGCGTCACGAGTGCGCCTGTCAGTGACTCCTGTCCTCTACAAGTAACAGGAAGAGTGTCCCCACCATTGCCTACCCACCAGAAACTTGAGGTGACTCCAGTAGGCCCTGAAGTACCAGAAAACCCTACAGTGGTTGGGCAATCAGTGAGGCTGGAGTTCGATTATTCTGAGGAGGCACGGGAGGGTCAGCCTCCTGTAAGAAAAGGCAAAAAACCCTCAGGCAAAATGCCTCTACGGAAACTCAAGCCTAAGAAGGCAGTTGAAAAGCTCGATGCTCTACCTGGACCTCCCAGTTCCATTTCTACAGATCCGGATGATATTCCTATTGGTAAAGGATCATATTCATATAATATGGACAATTGGGATGATCCAAACTTTAATCCCTTCTCTTCCAGTGTAAAACTACAGGATCCACCATCTACAATTCAGGAATTACCTGAACCATGCAAGCCCATTGTCCAGAGATCAGAGTCTCCTGCAAAAACACCAGCTTCCTTCGAAATACCAACAAATGATGCAGAACAGAATGGAGAAAGCAATAAACCAGCCAAGAAGAAGAAGCCTCCTTTAAAGACGTAAGTCACATCTGTCCTCTAGGAGTGTTATACACATAATATATGTCTATAAAAACACCAGTTAAAATTGCCAAACCATTCCTGAATTTTAAGCACAGTTCCTGTTTTTTTAAAGAGATGTGCGTTTCATCCATTGGTGTCAACTTGTTAACAATTCTGACCACACCTGTCCTATACTAGGCTCACATCCTACGGTATGTATCCTGCACCTGGCAATGATACATTGTAACAATCTTAGGAGGGGTGAGCACTTTGTACTCACAGGGGGTAGCAGTAATATGGAACAAGAGCATATTCAATGCAGCCTGTCCATTCTACTTAAAGCCCGTCTGCAAGTAAATAAAGAGTTAAAAGAGAACTATGGGGTAAGTGTTTTTCCCCATAGTTCTCTTTAGGTTCACAGGAGGACATATACTAACCTCCTCCCGTGACCCAAAGCTCAGTATATCACAGGCTATTGCCAGCAATATACTGAGAGCGCCACAACCGGGACGGAGGCCGACAATACTATCGAGATCCACCCAGCTGCGTAAGTGACAGCAGGCTCTGCCTATCTAGAGGAAGAGCCAGCTGTGCCTGCCCCCTCCCCAGTCCGTTCCTCCAGTCAGCACTGGTATTGAAGAGGGGTGAATCCCTGCCGGGAGCGGTGACTGACAGTCACCGCTCACTGCAGGGAGACGATCGGGAAGTGAGCGGATCGGTGCATGTTTCTCCTCACTTCTCGATCGATAGAGCTGACCTGTAACAGCTTCTTTGTCACAGGTCGGCTCTACCTAATGAGGATGAGTGGAAATCACTCACCTCATAGGTCTCCTTTAACTAAGGGACTGAAGTAGAGCACTTTTACTTACATTATCCCGACTCCTCTGATGGTCAGTGCTCTCCTCTCTCCCCTCTCTGATGGGTGGAATGTCCTTCTGCATCCTCATGTCTAATTCAGATCTATGGAACCTGTATTACATGTGATGTTGGCAGCAGTCATTAGACCACCGGAGTGAAGGGGAGAAGAGGCTGCAGGGATGTAGGTAGCTGGCAGGAGTGGGGATCAGGTAAATAAAACTGCTTTTTCCTGGCCTTTAGGCACATACAAGCAATTAACTCTGCAGGTAGCACCACTGCAAGGGTAGTTTTTTTTTTGGTCCGGAGATAGGCGTTAAGCAAAATGCAGCATTATGCTGTATAGAAAGAAAACAATAAAAAAAAATATTTTTCTGGCTTATATTCCTTACATTCCCTATTTACTCTCAGCAATACAGGAACTAGGAAAATCCTAACGTAAACAATTCAAAAACAAGTTTAGTTAAAGGTAATTGAAATCATGTTTTGCCTTGAGAGAGTACACAGATTTCCTATAAGATAGACTATCAAAAGGCACCGTCTTGTGTTGTGCCAAAGAGTTCGGTAGGTTAATTCCCTAGTCTGCAGAGACAGGATAGTATAAATAATCCGGGTTTTCAGGCACTTCATACAAAGCTTTGTACTGTTCTGGAATACAGTGCTTGTCGTTTCCACAGGCAATATAATACACAACTGTCTAAGTAGCAGAATACAAATAAACCCCTGCCATGTTGGCTGTATTTTACAGCTGTATAGTTTTTCCTACAGAACAAATTTTTATACGTGGTTGCACGAATTAGCCATTTTCTGAGTATAAATATTTGTAGAAGAGCAGAATTAGTGACGAGTGTGTACCCGCAGCAGTTATTTTCCTTCATGCTGTATCACTTGCTCTGAATTAAGGCAGGCATTAAAAAAGGATCTTGAGGCAGTTATTAAAACACACATTCATTACAAATAAATTTAAATGTTTGTATTAATACCTGAATCAGGCTTTATATTTGCTTCCAAAAATCTGTTGTACAGATTTTCACACTGTTCAAATACAGGGCAGCACGTTGAACCAAATGGGGTTCTATTTCTTAGCTTGCCGCTGTTAGTGAACAGGCTTACATAGACACAAGCATAGGGGTGAACACATCATTGTGCTTCAGCTCCTTGTTCAATTACCAGGCTGGGAAAGGAGAGGAAGCTAAAGAAGCATTCACTGTTTCCTGTAGTAACCAATAAGATGAATTAGGACCATTATCCTGATTTCAGGGTAGGGGGTTGTTTACCTGTTCACATAGAGGATTCTTGCAGCTGTAAGAGGTACATGTACATAGTGAATATAAATAAAGGATAAGTTTACTTTTCTGACCACGTTTTATGTTATACACCCATGTTCAGGGTCTAATATGAAACATGGTCACATCACAACCTCCCACTTACCCACATTACGGGGTTCTTCTCCCCACGCTGTTGGTCCACACAGCCATGTCATCCAAGCCACCCAACAACGCTACAAATTCACCCCTCTAAACCTCACTGCACCCCAACACCCTAGACACCATACCTCTATGCCAGCCAACACCACCCTATCAGTGCATACTCCACCACTGCTCCCTCTGTCCCTGGTATTCCCATGTCCCTGCTCCCCCTTGTACTTTTGCAGGGACATGCAGGGAGGAGGTGAGTCTGAGCCTTGAGTTTCTTGGGGCTCTGTCTACTCTGTGTTTAGCTTTGCTCACTTCCTTCTCCCTCTAGTGACATAATTACATCCCCAGTACAGCCTGTAGATGGAAGGGGACCCCTGCGTGTCTTCGGAGTTTCCTGGGTGAATACAGTATCACTATTTATCACCCCTCTCTCATATTCTATCAAACCCTCTATATTATTTTTTTGAACATTTACTCTCTATTACAGGCTGAAATTAAGGGGGACTAAATTTCCATTTTAGTCCCCCTTACTAAATCTCAATTTTTCTAGGTGTATTTGTCTTTTAAAATAAGTACAGGATGAATACAGAGCTGCATTAATTCATGTCTTGTATATCTGCCTAACATTCCGCTTTAAGCACCGTGGTCACCAACTCGTATGCAGCCTGCTGACTGTGTAAAATGGAAGCATAAACACACTGATGTGGTCATCACTCTGTTCCTTGTGCTCTCTCCTCTTGTCAGCATGCTTCCTGTAATAGATTGACAATACTGTGCAAGGAAATAGAGCCGGACTGACGTGCAGTGCTGTCCCAACCTCTCCCATTCTCCTGCATGGGATTAAAAGGAAAATCTTTAAATATAGCCTGGACTAATTTTATGCTTTATTCTCTGTGCGCTTACTAAGCATTTTTACATATTCCTTAGAATATATTATTCATCAAGCCAGTTAACATTTAAGCAGGCACGCCAGTGTAGGAGGATTTGCTTTAGTTTTCTGAGCAGTTCCTTCCTGTTACTATGTATTTGTGTGTACATTACTCAAGCGGCGCCACACTGAATGTTTATTACAGAGCATACGCAGCCTTCTGTCTGTCTGTCTCTTTGTCTCTGTGTCTATAGGATGGTTGAAGATGTCGTGTCTGTCTGTTCTCTCTTGTAAGTAACTTCACTTCAGCCACATTCCTTGCCTCTGTCTTGTAATCCTTCCTGCTTTTTCACTGTGCATGTTTGAGGTCATGTCTCCTTTCCATTATCTTTCCATTGTGCCAGTCGTGGCATGTTATGCTGCACCACATATTGGCTGTATGTGGTGAATATGTGATTGCTCACAGTCTGTATATTGCTGGGTGTTCTCATTTGCTGGCTGCTTTATATGTTTTTATTGGGAAAACAAATATAAAATATTAGGGCTGCAGCTAACGATTATTTTCATAATCGATTAGTTACCCGAATATTTTTTCAACTAATCGATTGGTTGTATAAAAAAAAATCTCTCTCTCTCTCACACTAATCAGTGATGAGAATAGTTGCCAGCTATTCTCATAATCGATTTTTATCGATTTAGTCAATTAGTTGTTGCAGCTCTATAAAATATGTAGAAGGAGCATTGTAGCTTTTGGGGAGCTAAGAGTAAATGAATGCCAGTGGTCAACTATTAAGGCATATAGTACCTTAGTGGCAGGGTGGGTGCTCTGAATGTCCAATACTGACTCAGGTGCCAGGGTGGGAATTTGATACTTATTCTCCTTATTGTTCCATCACTTTCATCTCTATAGAATTCTTAGTGACATGTTAAAGATGAACTCCAGGAAAAATGCTGCTAGTTTTTGTCTTGGTTTAAAAAAAAAAAAAGTTATACTCACCTGATGCTCTGAGATGCTTGTTTTTAAACGGGTCCCTGGAGTGTCTCTCTACCTCCTCTGCAGCGTTAGAAGGTCCAGTAAATTACCACGTCTATACACAATGAATGGAATTTATCAAAACTTGAGCAGCCAAAATCTGGAGCAGCCGTGCATGGCGACCAATCGTCACCTCTCTCTCTCATTTTCAAATCTTAACTGAACAGACTGAAGAGAGATGCTGATTGGTTGCAGTGCACAGCTGCTCCAGATTTTGTCTGCCCCAGTTTTGATAAATTCCCCGCCAATGTATAGACGTGAGGATGCTGAGGAAAATTCCACTACTGCAGCGGAATAGGAGAAAGGCCCGGAGGGAGAGTTGTGACAGCTGGCTAGAGTATAACTTTGTTTATTTTAGCACTAGACAAAAAAAGGAGCACTTGACCTATGCAGTGTGGGGGTAGCCCCACTGCAAGGGTTAAGAAAGTTTTCCTGGAGTTCTTCTTAAAGGCATTCTCTCATTCATGTGGCTTGAAGTGTAGCCATACCCAAGAACAACATTTTAATATAGTGCAGCGTACCAGTCCTTAGATGTGGTGCCTGCATTTGTTTTTTTCATTTATTTCCATCTGGTGATCCTGCCAGAAACACACTTCCTGTTCTAGGGTGACAACATTTACTGTATGGTATCTATGGAAAAGCATTGTTGTCACCTATGGACTGACAGTGTGTAAGGCTCACTATAGTTTTTCTATAATTTACCACGCGGGCTGAACTAGAGAAAAATCATTTAATTCCCACATCCAGGCTAAAGAGCCCGGATAGAGCAATCTTCATTACCAACTTTTGAATTCAACAGCTGACTACAGTAGCTGCTGAATATTGACTGTATCTGACATTGTTTGGACAATAATTTTCTACCTGGCTCAGTTGACTTTTAAATCAACTTTTGTGGAGCTGGGTAGTGCTGTCAGGGTCAACCATGGCTGGAATTTCAGCTGATTCAGCAGAAATCGAACAAGATTTGAGCGGACTATGGCTAGCCTTAGGCCTTGTTCACACCTAGGCGTTTTTGAGCTGTTGGAAAAGCGCTTTTCCAACAGAAATCCCATGATTTTCAATTGCCGCTATTCACACCTGAGCAGCAAAACGCCAACAGGAAAACACCAAAGGCCCAAAAAGGTACATGAGCTTCTTTGGGCGGTTAACAGCATGTTTTTGCTCCATAGACTTCATAGACATTTTCTTGAGCATTTGTCCATTGGCTGCAATGCTTCTTAATCTGCCAGTCAAAACACACGTCTTCCTGTACGCGCATACAAACGCGCATCAAAAATATGCACAACGTGCATAAAAGTGCAAATACCCGCACGCTGAACACGTGTGTACAAACGCGCAGAAACGATGCCGCCTCAGTGTGAGCCTGGCCTTAGGACGTACAGACTACATAACATCTCTATAACTATTCCCATGCAGTCAGGTGATGATCTGTTCTTGGGGAGTGAACAAACTCACCTGGTCCCTGCTGTTTTTGATACCCATAGATCAATTACAGTAATTGCCTCCCACTCTACTCTGATGGTACCTAGAAGTTGTTTTCTTCCTACACTTCCTCTATGGGAAGATCATCTGACACGTACTATCTGGCAGATAGGATGCATGTGTCGGGTTAAAAATCAATTTACTAAGGTTCTGATCTTTGTCAGAAGTCTTCATTTATCAGCTTCAACCAACAGCTAGCTGTTCTGTTTTTTCAGCTGGACAGACAGACAAAAATGTAATGGATGTGATATTCATTTACTGGTTAACTGAAAATGAAAATAAACTCAGTATATGTGGCCTCTAGATCAAGTGATCCCTCACTAGTAATAAAACATGTAAGGCACATGTGTGCATGGAGATGTAAGGCCAAACTCCATTCAAAGATTTTTCTTTGGGATAAAGTGGAGAAGGGTTAGACCTTCGTCAGGTTCTTATTGTATGTCTGTGTTTCCATTAGGGATATATTTTCCCTAACGTCTTTGTTCTGTTGAGCCCACAGGAATTAAGGGGAAACTCATCATAAAGGGGACACAGGCTGGAAAGGAGAAGACAGAAGTTCTAACACTTCACTATTCTGTTATAGAAGTGGATATATTGCTGTGTGTTGCCATTGGAGAGATTCCTTTTTTGTGTGTGTCAGTAACTGCACAGAAAGTAAGGGGTTATCTCCCCAGTGGGGCACAAGTGGCAACATGCATTTTGCCCCACGCTATCCAAATTTATCAACAAAGTAGGACCTGGACTTTATATTGACTGTATAGTGAACCTGTGCATTGCCCATGCAGTTTAAAGCATCCGGTGAACTTTAATGCCCCGCCCCTGTTTGTTCAAGTTTAAAAAAAAAAGCTTGAACAAACACTTGCCCAAACCTTTTTTTTTTTACAAATTACTTTCTCCTTCGTTGGCCTTTTGGCCAATCACATGACATCCTCCAGTCTTCTTCCTCTTCTTCTTACAACAGTGGTCGGCCTTATTCTGCTGTTTAAGTATTGCACTGTGAGGCAAGGCTGCTGTGTCCATATCAACTTTGACAAAAAGTGGGTTGAATGACTCTGACCATTATTCAACTTGGAAGAGGATTGGCAGCAGAGAAACGTTTCTACGGGGAACAGTGCTAGAGGCAATGTATCACAGGGAGATTTGCATTTGTGCTTCAAAGGGCAAATGAACCCTTTTAATGTATTAAGCAGTCAGGCTGCATATACAGTAATATATATGCTGATCTTTAACTTTTGTATCTCTTGAGTACTAAAGTGTTAAAAAAGCCTGTGTTGCAGCAAGTATGAGAGTTGGACCGCTGCTCTCACACACTACGCAGTCCAACACCCCACCCACCTAAATACTGCTCTAATCAACAGCACTGCCTGTTGGTTAAATCGGTGTTCAATCTGGGGCATTGGACCACTGGAGAGTCAGATCTCTGCGCTGTGAGAGCAGTGGTTAAACTTTCCTACATGCTGGAGCACAGGCTATTTTAACACTTGCTGCAGTACTCAGCAGATAAAAAAGTGAAAGAGCAGCATATTTATTACTGTATATGCAGCCTGACTGTAGTGCAGTAATAAATCAAGAGGGTTCAATTGGGCTTTAAGAATTTGCACAATTGTGCTGAGGAAAGTAGAACAACTAATCTGGTATCTTTCATTATCTAACGCACACCAAAAACATAAAAAGGGAGGTTGTTTGCTACGGCCAGTGCCTCTATTCTCCATTAGTTTTCCCTAATCAAATTGGATTTATCTAGAAACATTCAAACAGCACAATGCATATGATGGTTCCTGAGAAGGCCATTCTGAATGCATGCTGTTTTTCATTTTATTTCTTACTATAACCAGTTAAATGTTGCAATATCCATGTCATTTTGTCTGAAAGCATATGTATCTTACCTTCATCAAGATACATGGATTTCTGGCATGGAACCCAAGCTACATGCAGTTTATCACCCTGCTTTGTCCACATGTGATGTGTTAGTGATGCTGTCACATTGTAGCTAAAGGCTATGATGAAACAACATGTTATTTGTATGAAGCCTTTAGCAGTAGATATGATTGGTTAAATAAGCTGTGAGATCATACATTTCCCATTGAAGTTGTCCATTTCTTGTAATTACATATTTTCTGTCCTTTTTCAGTGACACATTTAGGGTGAAGAAGTCACCAAAACGCTCTCCAGTTACTGAAAATGGCTCTGAGGTTTGTATGCATTAAATGCATGAATTATGTTCTTGAGTAGTTTATAAGTTCTATATGTACCCTATCATAAAATGTCTTCATATATCACTACATTGAAAGGTTAAAGAGACCCTGTTACCAGACCATTTCAGCGAAAATCTTCTCAAAAGATATATGGGCATTAACATATTTTATGTATATGTGTAAAAGCCTCTCTTGTGTAGACATCCAAAAGCCCTGAGACTGCTGCTGGGCGCTGCCATCTTGGATGTGATGTCAGTAGCCCCAGCAGACTTGGAGATGTCACTCAAGTGATGCACTGTAGTCAGGGCCGGATTTCCACCAAGGCTCGTCTTTGGGGCAGCAGGGAGTAGAGGGGCAGCAGGAGTGTGGAATTCCTATCTCCTGATGCCCGGGACATTCAGTTCCAGGCGCCGGGCGTGTAGTTGTTTTCTACATTTAGGCAAGCAGGGCTAAATGTATATCAGGGAAGCCGCCGCTTCTTTTGCACAAGTGATCTAGGCGATGTCGCCGAGATCACTTCTATGCAGCGGGGCGCATTGAGGAAACCTAGCATTGGAGCAGCAGAGAGAGTAAATCCGGCCCTTACTATAGTATTCCCTTGGTAGCTACATAAAAGGTTATGCAGGGAGGTGAAGGGAGGAGCTGGGCCAGCACAGATAGTTATAAGACACTCCTAGAAGAGGAGGGGGCTGTGACATGCAAGGAGGGAAGGGGCTGTGCTAGGGAATTGGCTAGTTAATTTGTCTAGCAAGTTCAAAGGCACAATAAAAGTGGATAAACATTATTTATGGGGGAAAAAACCAATGCAGGTATCATTTAAAATACCTGATTTTTCTGTACTTTTAACTGCAGTTTGTAAATTGTGTTTGTAGAATAGGACCTATAGGACCTCTCTTTTTAGAGATTGGTTGAAGGGTTGGAGCCACTTTTAGGTGTGTATTGCTGTCTGTGCCTCTTTGGGGAGATTTACATCCATTTCGTTCATGGTTCTGGAGGGGGTGGGGGGTTGGGGAATCCAGTTAACAATAAAAACATGATTATACAGTTTTAATCCTTTCCATCTCTATCCAAAACTAAATATAAAAATGGATAAAGTTCAATTATACACATGGTACAGGCATAAAATAATATAATAGCTGTTGACTACTGTTTATGAAATGTATTATTGAATTGTAGGGATGCACCGATACCACTTTTTTAAACCCTAGTACCGATACTTTTTATCAAGTACTTGCAGATACCAATTACCGATACTTTTTCTTAAAGGGACAGGTCACATTTTTTCTAAAGCAATACAAACTAATGCTTTAAGGTCACTTTCTTAATATTATGATTCATGAGATGACGAGGGAACATGACGCCGGCTTCCCGGCCAATCAGAATGCTGGCTTCCGGATTTGCCAACTTCCTGACCAATCGGGACCATTGCACGCTACCCGGCTTCCTGATTGGCCGGGAAGTCGGCTCCATGCTCTCTCATCACAAGTGACGAGAGAGCATGGAGCCGTTTCCTGGCCAATCAGGAAACCGGGCAGCATGGAATGACGCGCTGCCCGGCTTACTGATACAGGAAGTACTCGTGCTAGGTATCGGAGCATTTGGGCGAGTACGAGTACTCACCCAAATACTCGGTATCGGCACCCATACTAGTATCGGTATCGGTGCATCCCTATTGAATTGCTTTAAATTGCGGTGCTAGGCTTGTCAGATAAGGGAAGTTACAGTTTACGTGCAGCCAACCTGTACTATTTAACTCTTGCATCTCCCTGCAGGACCTGACAGTACTCTCCAAGTCAGACATTCCCCCTGTGATAGCTTCTGAAGATCACGCCACTGATGAGGAGAAGCTAGCCTCTTCTGTTGGTAGCCAGAAATGGACCTGCATGGCGGTGGATTTGGAACCAGACAAACAAGACTATCCCCAACCATCTGACTTGACCAGCTTTGTCAATGAGAGTCAGTTTCACTCATCCACAGATGGTACTGCTATGTACAGACTGCCCTACACATATTGCTGCATGTCACCATGATTAGCTTGCAAATCACTTTGCTGTTACAGCATATGCATGCATTCTGGACATACACATTTAAGGGCTAAGTTGGTTGAATTAGATTTTACGGTAAAGATTTCTAGGAGTTCCGTCTTCTTTGAATAGGGGAAAGTCTCTTTTACTGTGCAAGTGCTGAACACAGCAAGATCTTTAGTGCCTCATGTCAGTCTTTCAGAAGACTGGTACCAGCCTTATGAACCACTAATGTCATTTAAGATAGCCAATAGTTTTGGGATTATAGCCATCCTTACTTAAATAACAGTAGGAGCCAGAGGTAGCTGCTCCTTGTATATGCTAGATTTCCTGGTACATGTAAGTAAAGTAATGACTAGGCCTATTATATAAAAACTTAAATGTTAATACAACCCTGTACCATATCAATTGTGGACTACATCAGCAAATCTGTCAAGTATTACATTATATTGTCTGTCCTGCGGGGGGGAAATTAAATGTGCAATTTTGTTGGTTGCTTTGGGCATTAGTAATATAAAGAGGTTGAAAAAAGACACATGTCACATGTCCCTCAATGTTATCTAAAACGCATATCCAGAGGAAGGCAAAATAACATTATAAATTGAGGTACATGTGCAGGGAAAAAAATATTTTCTAATCTCCTAAAGCAATTTGAAAATTCCCCAGATCCTGTTTTATATTTAGTGAGGTTACCCATTATATTTTCTACTCTTTAACATGAATTCTTTTAACGTGAATAATTTATGTTTGTCTCAGATCTAGATTATGGAAGCTCATACAGCATTGAATACATGGAGAAAACCGGCAAGTGCTCCCCGGTAAGCCCAGTTTATTTAATACATAAACTTGTTAATACTTGGAGTATTTTCATGCTTCTGAAATGTTGTATAAAAAATATGTTTTAAACACTCCGTGATCTAAACCAATCCTCAAATCTGACCATATTTTGTGAAAACCAAATCATATTCTAAGCTTCACTCCTCAAAGTCTGAAAGATGGGCATAATCTGGTAAATAAATAAACATGATTGATAGGTATTATACTGCAGTTTGAGAGTTTGAGTAAAAGCCAAATACTGATCAATTTATACTGTCCAGGAAACTCTGCACACATGCTAAAGGCAGGTTAATGTGAGCTCTGTGCATTCCCATAGCTGGCATGACCATGAGGGCTTTCATAGGGATTCAGCAGCCTACAGAGAAACAGCAGAGGGTTGGGCAGAAAGCAGTGGAAGCTAAAGGTAGATGTTAAACGGGGCAGGAAAACAAAAGACAACCAGGGGGAAGGCAGAGAGTGACCGAGAGTAGTGTAGAGAGAGCTGGAAGAAGGGTGGAGAATGGATTGTGCCAGAGGATGACATCTTTGGTCTAATAAAGTGGCCTCAAAGCTCCAGCACAATGAGACAAGTAAATCTACTCAAAGGTTTTAAGGAGTTGGTGAAACCCTGAGTAGGTCCAGCACAATGAGACAAGTAAATCTACTCGAAGGTTTTAAGGGGTTGGTGAAACCCTGAGTAGGACTTTTAGCAACTGGATGGACTAATAAATTATGACAGCACCAGGATGAAAAGCCAAAATAACAAACATGTAGGCACAGTCCCCTGTATATATTTGAGCCATGTAGATTCCTGACAAGCGTATGCCTTTTAAAGTAGACCTAAGGTTAAAAATGTAATACCCTCTCCCTCTTGCTTTTCCTGTGAAAAAAAACATGTTAGAGCCCTAAGCTACTTACACATTTAGTATGTGGGCTCCTTCTGGCCCAAAACCGGTGCCCAAAACCGGAAATGTCAGATAAGCAGTGGGCAGTCAAATTTAGTGGAGCCCGCTCCTAAAAAAAACCTTTTTTAACACGTATGTTAAGTACGTTAACTACAACAGTCACAGTGCATTTATTTAAAGGAGAACTATGGGGTTCAGGCTTTTCCCCATAGTTCTCCTTAGGGTAACGGGAGGACACAAACTAGCGTCCTCTCGGCACCCTAGACTCAGTATACCGCGAGCTGTGGCTCGCGGTATACTGAGACTCCGCAGTATACCGCGAGCTGCTGCTCGCGGTATACTGAGACACCGCAGCTGAAGCGGATCCCGACAATTGTGCCGGGATCCGCCCAGCTGCGTGACTGACAGCTGGCTCTGCCTATCTAGAGGCAGAGCCAGCTGTACCCGCCCCCTCCCCCGTCCGTTCCACCAGTCAGCGCTGGCAGATCGGGGAGGGGGGAATCCTGCCCCTCCCCTGTCACGGCAGAGAGGCGTGACAGGATCAAGAGCTGAGCGAACCTGGTATGTGTTCGCTCACCTCCCGATCTACTGAGCCGACCTGTGACAGTCTCATTGTCACAGGTTGGTTAGAACTATGAGGTGAGTGAAAAGCACTCACCTCATAGTTCTCCTTTAATCACATTTGGAGCAGATCAAAAGACACTTATAAATAAATAAGACATGTGATTGTCCTGTTTTTAATGACATTCAGGTAGGCAAATCTGCTGTTTTCCTATATGGAACTTAGCTGTGATTTGATTCCCTATAATGCCAGCATGGTGAGTGTAGATTATTATTATAAAACATGTCCTTGAACATACAGTGTCCATAAAAAAAACAGGAAGTACAAATACATCCATGTTGTAAATCTGCCCGCATGCATTATGAACAAGGTGTTTATTGCTGAACTCTTGTGAATCTCCTTTGAAACAGCACATTAATGTGTGTCATTAAAATATAGCCATACACATAAGTGAAGTCATAGGGATTACTCAGGGGTGTGTTTGGTGTGTAACAGCAGCTTGAATATTATAGAATTTGGCTCAGTCTGATTCTTAGTTGAAATGTTTCCACAGCTCCGGGACGTGTCTCAGCCCCAGTCTCTATACCTCATGTTTGAGGCATCAGAGGACAGCCCAGGAAAATCTCCTGCCAAGTTTTCAGAGTCTTGCTCCCCAGCGACGGAGTAAGTAGATCAGCAGCCCATTGTGGTGTACAGTTGCAGTCATATTTGTTTTGCAAATGAGAAGCCAACTGGTCTTCTATGCAGGATGTGCAAGGCTGCCGAGGTAATGTCAGATGTGTTGTGTTTATATCCTAATTATGTGTAATCTTTTTGTCGATCAAGCTTTGAGACCATGGAGTCTAATATATGCTCCGGACAGCTGCCCCTCTCCAGATCTCCACCCATAATGCAGGACAGTACCCGCCAAGCTTTGGAGAGGTCACGGCCCAAAGAGGATGAGCCAGAGCTGATTGGAAGTGGAAAAATGGAACTGGTGAGGAAGTAATATGTTTATTCAAATGTTCTTATTACAAAATACAAAAATACATATTTAACACTTTACCTAAAGTGGGGTCCAGGATTAGGCTCTGCTTTTCATGATTATGAGCTTCCCACTATAGTGCAAATACATAAACCATCTCTACCCAAAACTGATCTTTCAGTATGAATTGGGTTCAATTGCTTGTTGTCTAATACTGTAAAAGATTCAAGTGACGAAATTGTGCTGTCAACTGACTCACAGGCTGTGAAGTATCACCGTTGCAGTTTGATTCTTTAATTATTTGTTTATCCTACAATTTGGGGAATCGATTAGGAGATTGTGACGCCATTGTTTGGCTTTGTAATGGCAGTAGCAGCTGGGAATAATTGGAATTCTGATGATATTTTTCACGGAAGATAGAAGAAATGAGCATGTGAACTTGCCAACCCTCAAATCTCAAATATCAGTTTGGAGTAGTGATAGAGTTTAATAAGGGACAGCATAGTCTGCAAGCTGGTCTGTCAGTAAAATAGTTTTTAATGTGATTTACACAGTATGTGAGAGTTTCAGGAACTTATCAGAAGTGAGAACATTTAAAATAATGTAGAAAATAAGGGAGCACTCGCTTCCAAGCCAAGCCTACTTCCTGTCTAATTTTCACATGGAAAGGAATACTTCAGCTTGGGACTTTGAAGCCATCTTTAGTCTAAAATGGAATCGAGTATGAAACGGAACAATATGCTGCAAAAAAACCCTGCAATGCTGGTTTGGAAACTGTTACTTACAAGATTGTGAATCTAATTTTAGCCAATTCTTACAAATATATAATTGGTTTTAGGGTTAGTGGTGCATAATGCAATGAGAAATGATCTGTCTGAACGGAATCTGAATGATCTAGCCAATCAAAAGCTAGCCTTTTTGACTTTGACTGTATTATGATGTAGTACATTGTTGCTTCTTGTCTTTAACAAAAAAAATAATGTATGTTTACTACAATGGAAAATTACAGCCGTCAATCAAACAGGAGTTTTGCTAATAAATTCAAGATTTTCCAGATAAATAAGATTATTCACTGGTTTAACCCCAGCTACTGAGACACGTATTCTTTTTTGGCTTTTCCTGTGTTTATCGTTTTCTCTATTGGACACCTATCAATTTCTTTCTCAAGCTTATGAAATGCAGTTATTCCAGTTCTCAACACATTTCACTATCATATGTCATAGTGTGTGCTGCGCTCTTGTTAATTATTCCCTGTGGTCTGAGCTCACTCACAGAACACTGCACCATTAGCATTTGCTTGGGAACGGTTTTCTCAATATGTATTTAATTTACATAAGGCTAAAATAAACCACATTTGTTCATGAGAACCTTCAGAATCTAGTGATTTAAAAACAGAACCTAAGTCAAAACTATTAATTTGGTTTTGACACAGGTATGTCTCCCATTAAAAGTTCATTTTTAAAGGATCACCAAACCTAAAACAGAAAAGTTACTTTTTAAGAAAGATCTACAAATTACATTCCCACACATGTATACAAAGTATCCTCAGCTGTACAGAATCAGAAATATTTGACACACTGTATATACAGTAAATGCTGGGCAGCCTGCCGTTCTGTGGGCTACCATTTAAAGGTGCCCATACACTGTTCGATTCTCGTACGAGAATCGCGGGAAATCCTGCGATCGTACGATAATTACCTGTGACAATGAGACTGTCACAGGTCGGCTCAGTAGATCGGGAGGTGAGCGAACACATACCGGGTTTGCTCACCTCTCGATCCTGTCACGGCTCTCTGCTGTGACAGGGGGAGGGGCTGGATTCCCCTATCCCTGCTCCGATCTGCCAGCGCTGACTGGCGGAACGGACGGGGGAGGGGACGAGTACAGCTGGCTCTGCCTCTAGATAGGCAGAGCCAGCTGTCACTCACGCAGCTGGGCGGATCTCGACGTCTATGTCGGGATCCGCTCTGGCTGCGGCGTCTGAGTATACTGCGAGCTGTAGCTCGCGGTATATTGAGCTTAGGGTAACGGGAGGACGCTAGTTTGTGTCCTCCCGTTACCCTAAGGAGAACTATGGGGAAAAACACTGACCCCATAGTTCTTCTTTAAAGCCAGCTCAATCCAGATAAAAAAAGACCTATAAATGTAGATATGTATTTATTAAAAAGCATTAATTGTAAATGCATCTAGTATACTGTAATTCCTGAATGACTTCCTGAATTGACTCTGTATCAGTCTCTTTTAATATGTATATCAGTACTCAGCCTAGGAGAGGGAGGGCAAGGCTTGGGACCAATCAGGTGTGCTGCACTCCAGTGACGTGCAGTGGAGTCCGTTCTCGGTGAGGCATAGTACTATGTGTCCCCAGTTATTTACAAACACCGGAGTGATCAGCTCATCGCTCCAGTGTTTGTTTTGCACAGAGGATCGGTACATATCATAGATATGTACCGATCCTCCACCGCTTGGCCACGCACAGAGGGGGGCTCAGTCTGCAGCTGATCACATGTGCAGCACCAAAGCAAGTGCAATCCAAATACAGGCTAAGATGGCACCTTCTTTGGCTGTTAGGGGATAGGAGATTGTAGTTCCACTTTAAATGCACCTAAAGAGAACCTGCCTTATTTGGGTGTGTGAAACACAGTAGCAATTACTGCACTTTTGTTTTTTTACAAAAGTGATTGTATCTAAACGAACTCAAAACACAACACTTAACAGGATAAACCCAGAACAAAATGATGCGGTTCCCCTTTACAGTTTTTTTTTCCTGTTATTTTCACCTGGTGATCCTGTCAATGATGCACTTCCTGTGCTAAGGTGACAACACTGACTCAGTTCACTATATCTCTGGAGGATTGTCACTCTAGGACATGACTGTAAGCTCTTTTCCATAACATAGGGGGAGGTGTTGTCTAGTCCAGCCTTTCTCCACCAGGGTGTCGTGCCATACCGGGGTGCCTCAAAATGGTAGGCCTCTGATGTAAAAGGGGGGATTCTAATATGAAAGGGGACTCTGATTTAAAGGGGGGGACTCTGATGTAAAGAGGGCTCCTGATGTGAAGTGGGGCTTCTAATGTCAAAGGGATGATTCTGATGTGAAGAAGGGCTACTGATGTAAAGGGGGAATTTTGATGTGAATGGGGGCTTCTGATTTGAAGGGAGGAATTTGATGCAAAGGGGGAACCCCCATACATTTTTGTTAATAGTTAGGGTACTTGAATGCATTTTTTAGTTTTAACTCATGAGTTTAGTGTCAGTTTAACTAATGTTTGTTTTGCATTGTACAGTCTTGATCACAAGTGTAGATCATATCAGTTTCTATCCATGGTTCCTTGCAGGGCTCTCCTGATGATGAATATGTAGCTTCTGAAGCATTGTTGTCACGGATTGCACATCACAATGCTCTCTGTGACCAGCTGAGTTACCTAGAACCGGATCTAGCAGAGAAGAACCCACAAGCATTTGCACAGAAACTACAGGTTTGTTTTTTTACTCTTGTAAAATGCCTATTATGCAGATAGACAAGTTTTGGCCTTTCGATTGTGTTTAAACTGTAACTCCCATTAAAGTAGCTGAAGCATTGCGTGTGTTTCACTGTAGAGGATCTTCTGGCATAAATTAAAATTCAACTGCTGCTTGTAACTTTTTAGGCTTGTTAATGAAAAAAGTCTCTCTTCAGGGACCTCTATATAGTGCAGGCACTAAGAGATGTGATTTCTTATTTTGCATGGTGCACCACCTGCTGGGGAAACCTGGCATTGCAGATCAAACCTTTTAAGTGAAAGAAAACCTGAAACAAAATATTTGTATATGCTTAGTACTAAAAAAATCTTCCCTTCATTGTCCACATCAGGAAAGTTGCATTGCGCAATAACATGCAGCCTTCACTGGAGTTCATGTAGACAGGCCGCAAAGAGACTGCAGAAGAACAGCAGCTTTGAGATGCAAACAGAGTGGAAAAAAAAAGTATTTACTTAAAAAAAGATGGGATTTGTTAATGATACACAGTGCTTTAAAAAAAAACTTTAAAAAATCCTGTTAGGGTAGGTGTAGGGAACCTTGGCAGTCGAGCTTTGGGGAAACTACAATTACCAAAATATCTCTGCTTCTGGGAGCCATGAGTCTTGCAATGTCTCATGGCTCATGTAGTTCCACAACAGCTGGAGTGCCAGGGTTGCCTACCCCTGATTTTACTAATGGATAAACAGTCTGCTTGGATACATAAAGCCCAACTATGGGCACAAGAAAAACTGCCAGGGTTAAATGCTTATTACGTCTAAGGGTTAGATGAACAGGGTGTAATACTTACCTCATTCCTTAATATAGCAGGCTGAGCCAATGGTCCAACAAAGTCTCCTCTCTAAGGCAATGTGGCCTGCGGTCGCACACTTACTTCCTCACATATAATGCAGGACCATTAGTCCTTCATTGTGCGTGATGACGCCAAAGGATGGCCCACAGCCGGTAGCATCAAGGAGAAGAGGAGCGCAACAGAGCTTGCCTCATCGAGGAATAGGGTACGTAATATGGCGCCTACTCTACCCCCCTAGTGTTAACAAGCATTTAACCATTTGGAGGGGGGCCTAATCCCACTGCAAGGATTTTTTTTTTCTTTCAATCCTGGAGTTGGGCTTTAAGGGTAGAGCCAGGCTTCCCTTTTGACATAAACAAGCGTTTAGACTCACACGTAGGTGTATGAAAACTCCTCCATGTTACTACCCAGAGGGCTCAGAAGCAGCTAGCACGTGTTATTTATGTCAGATCCTCTTTTAATTGCTTACCCCTTTATTTAATTGTATTTTCTGCAATTCTCTGTCTGATGTCCCTGTGTTCCTCATGTTCCTTCTTGTGAGATATTTTCTTTGTTAAGCCTTTTACCAAATGCTTTTCTCTGGCATGTTACTGGAGCAGGAGGAGTTAGAGTTTGAAGCCATGCGCGTTGAGGCTCTGAAGTTAGCCAGAAACATTTCCCAGTCGTCCCAGTATACAGAGGTATCTGGGCTGCGTGTGCAGTGAAATGGTCTCTGCATCCCTATGACAATGTGTGTGTTCCTGGATCCCACACCATTTTCTCTATGTTCTATCACTGCACCTTGTGCCCAATAGTATTAACTATAAGAATAAATGGATAGTATGCATTGAATATTGAAATTGGACACAATAAAGCTGGCCACATACATTGCCATCTGATTGCACAATCTCCTTTCGATTTACCTACAACTGTCGTAGCGGGGAGTATGTGCCTGGATTTACATTGATTGTAATGTTCAAGTAGGCCCTATTAGTGCAAAGTTATTATTATATATATTAGACATTTTACAGTGATTGTACCATCAGATTGAGACATGTGTGGCTGCCTTTTGGGACAATTGATATAAACCCTTGAGTCCTGCATGATTAGCTAGTAATGGTTTATTGCACCATAAATGTTAGCTTTGCTACCTCCTAGCTGTCAGGACTGCCTAGTTTTTTGCATGCTAAATTTCGGATTTTGCATTCTACTAAAGAGCTAGGCATGGCTTGAGCCTTCTGATTTGAAGTTAACACAGAGTATAAATTACAGCTGATTCTGTCACGACAAAAAACATTACTGGAGCTGGCCACCACGTTTATCGTGTTCACTGGGGAGTTTATTAGAAATGATACTGCTGCATAAAGCATTTCTTTGTAATGCCTAGATTTGCCATTTACACACAATGGTAAATAGGTGCGTTCTCAAAATAATAGGTAATATAAGTGTTCTCAAAAAATAACCTGTCACAAAACTGCAATTCAAACTGAGCATGAGATAAAAATGCATAAGCAGGCTTTACTTTTAGTGAAGGTCATTTTTTAAGAAATGATCAAAAGATCCAATGATATAAGCAGCTCAAGTTCTATTAAAGCGGACCTTTACCCATATCTTTAAAATTACAACGAACACCTTTAGAAATGTTTTGTAATGACAATCTACAAACACATACTTCTAGATAATTGCCGACTTTGTATTCTTTGCATTCCTTATTTCTCTTTTCTTCCCCAGTCTTCTGACAGTGGCCGTGTTTGTTAAGGGCAGGTTACTAGATCTCCTATTACTTCTTGAAAATTGGCACATGTGACTGTACACATCATCTCAGGGGAGGAAAATGCCTTTCTGCTTATGTAACCTTCCCAGGATGCAATGCTTTGGCAATCTGAAGTCATTTTGCCCTTTCAAAGTAGGAAGTGAATGCTCTGCAAGTGTAAGAATTTCACAATCACAGCATTGTACACCTGACATGTCTATGTGATTATTAAGCATCATACATATAGAGATGCATTGGTAGAATTTGATTTTTGAGTGTAAAGGTCCACTTTAAAGCCGAAGTAAAAGCAATTATTAAAAAGAAAAAAACCCTGGAGCTTTTGACCATAATGTATTAGTATGCGTAGGACTTACCTGCCAAAGTGATCCAGTGCCGTGCTCCTCCCATCTGCTCCCTGGTATTCTACCAGGTTTCCAGTGTTCGGCCGTTTGATTGGCCGGGCCCCGTTGGCATATCTCCTGCGTGCATGCATGGGAGTTACTTCTTGGCATTCGTGGCTCAGCGTACAGAAAAAAAATTGCTGACGGGTAGAAATACGTTTTTATAGCAGAAGAGACTTACACGGTCTCTTCTGCCACAGAAAGCCTCCAAATCAGCAATTTTTGGGGGGTTAAGCTTTATTTACATCTATGAATTCAGCTGCCTTTATCTCTGGATTTACCCATTGTTTTGACATTCAGTTTTCACAGTAGGCAACCTCTCATTATGTTTACATCATGATCTCAGTTTGAGTGCATTCTACTAGTACAATGCGTACATACACTAGAAATGGCGGCAGTACAACGCTAAATGGTCTCATAAGCATTTGAAAAGATGAACAGCCCCATCTGGAGGCTATTCTATGAACTACTTCACATGTTGCTATATTATTGCCCACGAGCACACGAGTAGTCAACCTTGGCACTCCAGCTATGGTGAAACTACATCTGCCTCTTGGAGTCATGCCTGTGACTGTCAGAATCTTAAGATGCCTTATGGGACTTTTAGTTCCAAGAAAGGTTTCCTACCCCTGCCATAGCAGATAATGTACTGATCATAGAAGGCCCCATATTCTAACTCCAATTACATTCATCTAGCTTAAAGGAGAACTATGGGGTTAAGAATTTTCCCCATAGTTCTCCTTAGGGTAACGGGAGGACACAAACTAGCGTCCTCCCGTCACCCTAAGCTCAGTATACCGCGAGCTAAAGCTCGCGGTATACTGAGACGCCACAGTATACCAGGGATCCCAAAGAAGCACTTTCAGGGAGGTGTCAGGAAGCAATAGCTTCTTTGCTATCTGCAGGCTTTCTTTTTGTATTCTGACAGTTGCAGTCGTCAGAATTTCCTCCCGATCTACTGAGCCGACCTGTGACAGTCTCATTGTCACAGGTCGGCTAGAACTATGAGGTGAGTGAAAAGCACTCACCTCATAGTTTTCCTTTAAAGAATTCAGTGCACTTTCATAGAAAGACTTCTATGGGGGTCATCTATTTCTGTCCCCCGGCTGGAAGACACATGGAGATGATCCCCATAGGCTTCTTTAGGGCTTTATTGCTCAGGAGCAGGATGTAAACAGTTCCTGAAGGGCCACATGCACCGGATCTTGGCAAGTATATTCTTTAAAATACGTATAAGGGTCGCACTGCGGCCGGGGGATGTGGTTGCGGTGCAATTTACTTCAATGCACCAACACGCCCCCTCCCGCCCCAGAACGCAGTGAGCCTGCCGGGATACGATCCAGTGCATTCTGGCTCCGAATTGGGCCAGAACGCACTGGGGCTGGTGTGACTAGCCCTGAAAGCTTTTTTCATATACCTGTTTGATCATTTAAAAAAATGCATTTTGATCCTGCCAGAATTCTTTTGAGCTTCATGAGCTCTCTACCTCTGCTGACTATTGTCAGTTACATTGTCCGTTATCTGTGAGGACTAGAGAACCACTTTCTTCTATGTTTTGGAGAATAGCAGAAGGGTGGTGTTCTTTGGTCCTATCTTCTTTCTGTTGTCATGATACAGAATAGTGAGTGAGTGCTGTCACTCGAGGACAGGAAGTGTGTTACTAGCAGAATGGCCAGGTGAAATTAAAGGGGGAAAAAAACCCTAAAAAAAGAAAACTAATGCTGCCACCACATCTAAGGACTGCTTAGCTCCAATATATTACATTTTTGTTTTGGGTTTAGATACACTTTATTTTAGATATTTGTATGTATTGTTTGTGGCAGATAGACAGGGTTATATTTGACCTCAGGAGAACATAAAGATTTTATTCTGATCTATACATTATATAGTACACCAGCTAGTAGGCTCTTAATAAAGACAAGCAAGGATTGGCTGCAATTGAGCATGGGGTTTTTTCAAGGTGCCACAAAATACTTACAGCTACAGCTGTATGTATTTTGTGGTACCTTGAAAAAAAACCATGCTCAATTGCAGCCAATCCTTGCTCGTCTTTATCAGTTATAGTGGTGTGGTGCCACCCACGTACCTCCCACCTCACTACCTACTGTTATACTTAGTAGGCTCTTAATATTACTGTTATAATTAGTTACTTGCAATTCTATAGCTGAACACAATTTATTATTACATTAAGACAACTGAAAAATGTACTTAGTATGGGATGGGGATGCTAGATGTCCCATGTGGCAGCGTAATCACATTATTATAAAACAAACCAATTTTCCACTTACCGTACTTGGGCTACCCTTTGCTGATAATAGGTAGCAGCTCCCCAGCGGAAGCAATATTTGCTCAAATATCGTCGCGGAAGGATGGAAAATGCAGATGTACAATGTGCATATTTACATTCTCATTATGCAACATTTCATTAGTTCATGGAATGGATGCAGTATGCGTGAATCTGTAACATTTTTCAAACACATGAGTATATATATTCTACACATAAATGGTTGCCGTGATTTTCAGTGATTGGGTAGGTTCTCTTGGCCTGTGTTTCACTTTTGTATTGTGCATGTATAATGGAACATGGTGCATGCGTGGGTGAGTCCTAATAGGGAGAATTGTTGAGCAATGTCATGGCCTTTATATGGTCCTTGGCTTTCCACACATCCTCAATACTTTGAAAGCACCATTGTTTGTGTCTTCATCCATCTACACATTTTCTCTTATTAACATTGGAATAGCCCCATCAGTTGTTAGAGCAGCTGAGGCCGTTTACAGAGGTCACAAGCTGAGAGTGACGCCCTTGGCCGCTTTTAAGGAAGAATATCTGAAATGTCTCATTTGTTATGTTTTGTTGCTATCCACAAAGTGGTTTAATGGTTAGAGTAATCCTGTACTGAGCAAAATAAGGAGGCTGCCTGCTTCAGAAAATGCTAGCTTATTGTTTGTTGTACTGAACCAATGGCTTCAGTATGTTGAGAAACTGACCTGGAACAAGTTTGCAAAGCAGGTTTTCTGGCTTCAATAGCTACATTCTTAATGAATAGGTCACTGACTCAGAAAGTATTGAAGCCAGACACTGGAAGGCAAAGAACATTTTTAGAAGAAGGTCAGCAATGGCAGCCCCATCATTTCTGCATTGTGGAACCTGTACATACATGAATTTGGCTGCAAAACAGTCCTTACTGGTGGGGCTTGAGGGCAGGTCTAGGAAACTGTTCTGAGGGTTACAGTTATCTCTGTAGTTGCCTCATCATCCCTGTAAAGCCTGGCACGCATGAATTTCACAGGTTCTGTGTCTGGTTTAAAGGCACTGGCAATCGAATTAACCTCAGAGCCTTTAAAATTCATATGTGTCAGCTTTAAAAGGGCTGATCTAATCCGGAATTTCCCCTTATAGTCTATATTCACCTAAGGCTCCATATTTATTCAGATGCAGTGCAACATTTTTATTAAAGGCTCTACTGCGCTTTGGATAGTTTTTTTACTAATTGGTTTAAAATAACTCCTCATTTATAGCAGCAGTGAGGATCTTGTTTTTAGAAGGGCTAAAGTCTACAAAATATAGATTGTGTTGCAGGTACATCCTTGGAAGGGATACAACATGTGCCTGCCTTTCAAAATGCCTATAATATTGTGGTGAGACTCACCCTCACTGTAAATAGGTTATGGATTTCTGCTTTGTGGTCAAATACACTTGCTCAGTGGATGACTTCCAAAGTCAGATAACACAGGGAACACGATAGGACAGTTTATGTGGACTTGAGCGATTGGACTGATGCATGCTGACAATGTTGCAGGGTAGTCCTTTTGGTCACTTTGGTTGAACCTATGCTTTGCCCATGCAGAGCGATACAATAGGTTCAATTTAATGTTGGCCTTTACATCTGCTTATACTTTCTTACCCTTTAATCCCCTGCTGCTATATTCACCCAGTTAGAGGAGTTTAAAAAAAAGTCCTTCTGTAAGCTCCAAATGGCAAATTGACATTCGCGCAGGGCTGAGGGCTCTGTCTTCACTTCCACATGACAGCACTGAGTGGTCAGCGGCCATTCACTCAGTATCATTACTGCCACATAGGAGGAGATACAGTGCGTCATTTGCTTGCTTATATTCAGTATGCCATTTGACTTTTTTTTAGGAGACTGAAGCAGCAGCAAGCAATGGCAAGGTAAGTATAAGCAACTGTGAGGTTAACATTAAAGTGAACCTGTTGCTTTGCCCTGCATGGGTATATGTGACACTCTCCCGCTGCATAGGTTATAATGGTGATGCATGACTAAAGAAAGTTTGGGAAAAAAAGAAGAGCTTTCTGCAGTGTTAATCAAGAAGAATTTCCACGTTTGTCTTTGTGAAGAATGCTTTTCTACTTTCTGCTTCACAGATAACCTGCTGTTTCATAATTTAAGGCCCTGTGTTTCTGAGGGAAGGTGGTGAGGCCTGTTTGTGCTGTTCAGTGACTGATCTGGGTTGTTGATTAACCAGTCACTAGGGGTCAGTAAGACCTTTAGGTAAATCACCTCTGTGAATGTTACAGTCACAGAAATACAGCTAACACTCACTTACTCTGCAGTCTACTAATCGGCTGGGGCCATCAGCATTAATATAAAGCTGATCTCTGTGTGCTGTGCCCTGTGCTGCTGTCTAACCTGACTGAATTTACTTGCATCTGGCTTTACCTATATTACTACTCTGCTGATGGATCAAAACTTTGGAATACAAATTGATGCTAACCTGTTGTTTCTATCTGCAGCCTGAGGCATTGGACTCAAGTGATTTAGGCCTCTTACATAAATCACTTTATTCACGGTCAGTGACTATGGAGACAGCTGGAGGTGGCCATTTACATGCCTATCAACAATCTGACTTTGAAGGAGCTCTTCAGCTTGCCAGAGAAGAGGTACAGTAACCCTTAACTGACAGTTGTTGTCATTGATTTCTGTAGCAAACCTACATTTGGCTTTATCAGACTACACAGCAAACTGATCACTTACAAGATACTTGATACATTATTGCCAATAGGAAACTAGGTAATGCACCCGCCCACTGCTGCTTTCAATCAGCAGAAGAGGACCTGAGAGAAAATATTCAGGTCCCCCTCTGCTGATTGACAGCAGCAGTGGGCGGGTGCATTAGCTAGTTTGCAATAGTTTGCAATAGCAATAGCCAATAGGAATCTAGCTATGCAATCGTATGCCTTTTTTTTTCTTTTCTGACTGACGGTCGGGCCGCGGCTCCCGATGTCAGAAAAGAACAAAAAAAAACGATCGCAGGGAAAGGTTTAATCTGCTTGATAGAGCAGATTAAACCTTTCCGGGAGAAAATGTTTCTCTCCCGGGCGGCCGGGAGCCGCTATCTAATAGCGGGAGACTCCCGGAGCGTCCGGGAGAGTTGAGATGTCTGATATCATTATAAATGAGATGCACCTTTGAATGTTAGGTCATTGTAAACATTACATCATGTAGCCACTATGTGTCAGTGTTGCACCAATGGATTGTTATAGAGCTGTAAGAAAGACAACTTTGGCCTTTATTTAATGTGGAGCGGTGAACTGCAGTGACTTGTAGCAGCCAATACAAGCCAACGTAGTTTATTTAGGTAAGGATGACTAGAGACATTAGTTAATTGTTGGTTGGATTGGGTTACAACTGTGGGCACCTTCACACATGAGCAGATGCCCCTAACTGGCTACAACTGAGAAGAGATGTGGGTGTGGATTTACACAGCCAGTCCCTTGAAAAGGTTGCCATCATTGGTTATCTAAAGCATCAGTGCATACACATACATACCCAGGCAAGATGAGGCTGCCTACTTCTGCACACATCAATCAGGAGAAAGACCCTTTATATTGAGTGTTCCTGTTTATTCATAACATGTGGAGAAGTTATGTTTATTATATCCACAATCATGAATGAACAGGAAGTGATGTAGAGCGCTTCCCATTCATTCATACTTGGGCACACAGTAAACATACTCTGTCCTCAGTTATTTATAAACAGCCAGCCATCACTGATCGCTGAGTGCTTTTTACCCGCACTCCATCCTAACGCGCTGTCACAGGAGGCAGAGCGATCTCCTCTGACAGCTGACTCCTCCCCCGCACTGCTGGCTCCGGCTCCTTCACACCGCTCTCCATCCTGATTTGTCACAGGAGTCCGAGCAGGGCCATGCGGGAGCCCGGCCACTCACATCGCTCTCCTCCCCTACACCGTTTGGCCTCCTTACAGTATCTCTCCTCCCTGCTGGATGCTGCAAAGTAGGGAGGAGAGAAACACACAGTAGGGAGGAGAAACACCAGGCATGCACCGCTATTTTGGCCGAAAGATGGTACTTTCGGTATTTTGCCAAACGTGCCATTTTCAGGCAATATGTTTCGGAGGCCAAAATTTCGGTGCATCCCTAATTATACTCTGCATGCAGTGTCTTAGCAGAGCAATGTCATGAGAGTATAATTGACTTCAAACAAGGATGTATGACATTCATTGATGTGTGCAAGTGAATTCTGGTAAAGAAACATTTAAAGGGAATTTATAGGGTTTTGTTTTGCTTTGTTATGCAATATAACATTTACATATAAAATATGTCAATATTTTAGTCATGTAAATGTGAAATGCTGCATGTGATTATATCTTTCTACCAGCAGGTGGTGAGATCTGAGTAAGAGTATCTGCTTTCTGGAGGCTAAGATAATAGGCTCTGTCAGGGCTGTAGCTACCATGGTGCAAGTGAGGCACTCGCCTCAGGCGCAGCTGAGAGGGGGTACAGGCAGGGCCGGCCTGGCTGCGCCCCCTGGCCCCTGTTACTATGGCGAGCACATGGCTCCATTGGCAACAGGCGGCCAACACACCCGCGGTTCAGCAGGAAGATGAGGAGTGGCACAGGCTCCAGCTTCTCCTCGGATCCCTGCTGCTCTCCCCCACCTGTATGGGCAGAGGGCTCTGTGTCCTCAATCTCTTGAAATGTCAGGGCTCTATTTAGACCCCTAATATTTCCCAAAGCTGTCCTGGAGGCGGGGCGCATGACGTCACATACCGCACAGGTCTGTTGGGGGCACAATTTTCTGTTCTTGCCTCGGGCGCAAAAGGATCTAGCTACGGCTCTGGGCTCTGTTGTAATACTGTATATACCTGGATAGCAGGGAGATTATACTACACACACTGCAGAATGACTCACAGTGGAAGGATACTCACCTTCCTTGTCTCTCCTAGCTGAGCTAAATCAGCTAATCCCCTGCAGTTGATTCATTTGTTGACAGAATGCTTCTAGGCACGCACACAGTGCTGTACTTTCTTTTCAGACAGCCCAGCATTTTTTGCAAACTGAGTTTAATGGAAGCTCATAGCATTGCATGTTTATAAAATACAGTTTTTATAAAAATGATTTAAAATTAATAAAAAAGTATAGTTTATACATTTTTTACAAATAAACGTAAAATATATTTAACCATTTGACCAGAAGCATCTGCCTAACATAAGTCAAGTGCTCAGGGTTAGGCAGTGTTCACAATCATTTTTCTTTCACTGCTATATTCTGCTAACCTGCCATATTATTTTTTAGATTGCAGCTAAGGATAGAGAAGTCACAGATTGGCAGAAGAAGTATGAAGAGAGTCGCCGTGAAGTGGTGGAAATGAGGTGAGAGTAGCTACAATCAGCTATTTCATTTATTAATAGTGTGCATTGTTTATCTATCAGCTCAACTTATCTTGGCTCTAAGTTTTAGCGTTACTGGGCATTGGAGCCTGAGCTGACTTGAACACAGCAGACGATCCTCTTGCAATACAATGTAATCTTGCTTTTTATACCTCAGATGGCCTTACAAATCCTTGGCATTTAAGCCCCCTCCATATGGTAGTGGGATAAGCACAAACTTACATCTACTTGCATCACAGATAACTCTTGAGCAGAGAAGATTCTAGTTCAACCCCTGTAATTAGTGCACATCTTTAGATCTCTTAGGAACTTTTAAAATGTGGGAAATGTTCACACTGCAAAAGTTGGTATTCTGTAGATGTAATGTAGGGTGCACCCCTAACATTAATCCATCTGGTAACTACCCAAAGGGTCACTAAACAGAGGCCCAGTAACTTTCAAAAACTAGTGTTTGTGAAAGGGTTTTTGAAACACTTGCATTCCTAGTAGTAGCTACTCACATTCAGCTGGATCTGTTTTATAATGTTGTTGCACCATGAAGACTGGTTTCACAAACTTTCACCTATCCTACCTCCTATCATGTTCTCAGCTGGGATATGTTCCTAAAACCCATTTGAACTGTGGAAGACACTTGGATGAGCAGTGGAATTTTTTCAACATTACAGTCCAGTTGAATATGATTAACATCTGCTAACTATCATGACCTAGGTACATTGGACATGCCTGTTTCTCTGCTGTACAACCTTTTGGTAAGAGTCCCCACACATGTCCTACCTAGATGGAGGAGCTAGATAAGACTGAATGGCGAGTCTAAACAATACAGTTGTACGGTTGCTAAAATATATGATGTACATCCTTTATTTTATTGGAAGACCTGTAATAGTTCCAGAAAGTTATCCACAGTATTTAAAGGATACATACACCTTTAAAGCAAGGTGCACTTATCTTTTTTACCCCTGACCTAAACGATTCCACCCTATCCCTCTGCAGAACCATGCTTACCAAGAACTGACAGGCATGGTTCTACCATTGTTTAGATCCAGATCCGCAATGCTCCCTCTGCTGGCTGCATCTGCACATTACAGCTCTATAAACTTCTACCTAGCCAGGAGAGGGAGACTTACAGCTCTGGACATCAGCAAACAGCGGAGAAAAGACCCTCGGATCTTGGGTATAGATCTCCGGGGGAGGAGGGCAAATAAAAAGTGCTGACAAACGTAAAGGCTTATCCATAAACTCTGACACCAATTCAGTTAACCCGTTCCTCACAAATGAGGTTTACTATTGGCTATATTCAACAACCCATAACTAGACATGAAACTAAAGAGAAAAAAAGGACATTGATCCTTGGAGAGAAGGATCAGGTCATAGTAGTTATAAAGGGTCGGAGTAGCCAGTTAGATAAAGTATAATATGGACAACGTTGTCTCACTCTCATACAACACTCATTCATGCGTGCAGGCTGATAAGATTAAACTGTTGCCGGTGGAGCTCAGAATGCAAAGGAAAAGAAATAGAAAAAAACAACAGTTTTATCTTATCAGACTGCACGCATTAATGAGTGTTGTAGGAGAGTGAGACAACGTTGTCCATATTATTGTTTTAATTGCCAGAAAGGTGGGGGTTTGGTGTCAAGTGGATTTTATTCATGTGCAATCATTTAATAAAGCATTTATACTTTATCTAACTGGCTACTCTGACCCTTTATAACTACTATGACCTGACCATTTACAATGTCCTCCTGTGACCAAAAACTCAGCATATAGCGGGCTATTGTCCGCTATATGCTGACAGCACAGAGCCGCACTGCGGCTGGGGAAGGGGGGAATCCCTGCAGGGAGAGGATTGGGAATTGAGTGATCAGCGGTTTGTGATCGCTCATTTCTGGATCTATAGAGCCGACGGGTGTCAGCTTCAGTGTCATATGTCGGCTCTAATTATGGAGATGAGTGTATTTCACTCTCCCCATAATTCTTTAAAAAACAAAGATTGTATAGTATTCATTATAATCTTATACTTCTAGCTATGCAATTGTTTTCTTTCTCTTGTTCGGTAAAGTTTTTGGTAAACATATCATAAATCATAATAGTGAAGGTGGAACACAGTGAGAAAGTAGATTTAAAATCCTAATCCCAGGGGACTATAAAACTTTGATGTAAAGAAATTATGACAGTGACTTGGATCCTAATCGTGCAGTGAGAGAAGTAGATAGAGAATGACAGATGGTCGTGAAGGAACCGGATTATGAAAACAGGAGGCGCGGAGGAAAGTAGAAAATAGAACACATTACCCCAGTAGAGAAGAACACATTCAGGAGGAGGACGGAATATAAGTACATATAGAATAAAAGATGGAGGCTAGGTGAGGTGTGGGAGGACGCATTAGGCATCCCTACAGAATTGTACAATAGCGAGTGTTATCCAATATAACATACAGTACCTTAGGTGTAGTCCGGGCTTGTGTGCATGGGCAGCAGGATGCAGCCAAGCTAATCAGCTTCATTCAGCAACCTCAAGTAAACTTACAGATCTGCTCTAGTGACTTGCATTGTGTCAGGTTTCGCTGTGAAGTTTAGAACTTGTAGTGAAGTGAAGTGCAGTTTGCTGGGTTCACTGAGCTCTACAAGCTTTAGCAAGGTTTGCCTTAATGCACAGTAAAAGTAGGTTCAAAAGTAGCCATGTACACAAACCATAATTCTGCATAATGCTACAAACTTGTAGAGCTATTGAGCAGATACGACTTTTGAACAGATTTCTGTTTTATTAGTTTATAACGGTTCATCTTGTGATTCATAATATTTTGTGACAACACAATGCTCCCGGCTGGCAAGGCCACATTATCTAATTGCTATCATGAATAATATGCTTTGTCTTTTTGAATGTGTTGAGCATTCCCGGAAAAAAGGATTTTAAAAGTCTGTTTGTTTTCTTCCAGAAAAATAGTTGCAGAGTATGAGCAAACGATTGCCCAGATGATTGGTAAGTGTTCAGATTGTACATATATAGTGTGCATGCCTATCCTTTTGTTAATGTCGCTTACTATTACTATTGGTATATATGTTGTGCCTACAAGTAATATAAAAATTGTTCCGCACATTATTTTGTGTTCTTTGCACTTGTATAAAACATCAACCTCCATTAAGTGGTGCCCATTAATACAGCCATAAGAAAGTAAATGGACAGCATTAGCTCCTTTACAAAGTTGAAATATTACATCAGCCCCAGTGTCGTGTGCCTCAGTAAGGGGAGTATGAGACCTTTGCAGAGAGATCACTGCTTCCACACAGTCAGCAAGGGTCTTTCTCTACAGAATGCTGGCAGGGGATAGACGTGGCTGCTTTTTAAAGAAAGCTAACTGTGAGGGCTTGTTCACACCAATTGTGGAGCGTTCCAGAGCGGCAGCTGCTGGAACGCACCGCAATTGCTCTCAAAACTACCCCCTGCTTTCTGGGGCGGGAGGGGGCGTGGCGGTGCATTGAAGTCAATAGCACCACTACAGCCCCCCCCGGCCGCAGTGCGATTGGACGCGTGGCAAAACATTGCCTCAATTCCGTTCCACTACAAACACAAAAAATAGAGCAAGCAGCATTTTTTTGCGTTTGCAGTGGAACGTGGGGGGTGTGGAAGCGCTGCCATTGAATTCAATGCACCGCCATGCCCCCTCCCACCTCCAGGCAATTGATGTGCCTGGAATATATTTAGCAGATTGAAACTAAACATTGAATTGGGCTGTAAATAAGGCAGTAGATGAAAATTAGCTACAGGCAGTGCTGCTTGCTGCTTGCACTGCCTGTTTCAGTAAGCTTACAACTATGAGAAAGTGAAGCCAAAACCAGTTTGCACTCCCCTATAATCTTGTGTTTGCTGCCTTTTCATGAAGCTTCCCAGCATTCCCAGCAAAATGGTTTTTTTTTTATTTTCCTAAAAATGGATCTATCCCTTCAGGCTAGGTTCACACCTAGGCGATTGAGCTGGTAAACTGTTTTCGTGCGGTTGGCACACGTTTTTATTTGTGCGATTTTGCTTTGAAAACCGCATGGTCGGCGTGCGATTTTCAAGGCATAGAGATGTCTATTGGACCCAAATCGCGCGACAACCGCCTGAAAATAGCTCCTGCACCTCTGCGCGACAGGCGATTTCTTTCTTTTGCAATGGTGTGAACAGCTTCCATAGACTTGAATGCAAATCTCTGTTTTGTGCGATATCGCGCGGCTAAATCCGTGCGATAAATCGCCTAGCTGTGAAACTAGCCTCATCCTTTAGAAGTGGCTCATATCCAACTAGCTCTGCCTTTCCTCCCTCAAATTAACCTGACTTGCTATGTTTGTTTTGTTTGTTTTACCCTTTGCTTTCTGCTTTGTTTTTTGTTTTTTTTTGCTTACAAACATAAGGCAGCCCAGGTAAGACTTGACTTTGTCCCATATGTCTGTAGTAATGTACTGAGGTGTCTGGTGAATCCTGTAGTCACATTGTCACTGGTGGTCGTGTAGTAAAAGTCTGTTTGGCTTATTCAGTACGGCAGTATGCAAAACAGTGATTCTGCATAAAGTGTAGTGCCCCATAACAACCACTCCTATATCATCTTTCAGCTATGGGCTCTGCACGTTGCATATTCATGATTGCACTGCCTTATTAAGTAAGCTAGTTCTGCATGTTTTTTCTTTTAATCAGTGCTAGTCACATTAGTTGCAAACAGTGCCATCTTAGATAATTGCTGTGATCAAAACCTTCATGACCCATAGCTCATTTCATGTCTGTGTTTTCCTTTGTAATTTTGTTCCAACCATTACTGCTTCAGCTTCTCTAATATTGTACTTTAACAAACATCTATGCTCACACATATACCAGTAAAGTGATAATGAGAATGTTGTGGGGATATGCAAGAGAATAACTTTAGGTATTGTAAGGCAGTTGAGATTCGATAAACAGTAGGTGAAGCATATTCTCACATGCTTATTTACAGGTCTAATGTGCATAGTGCTGAGCATACTGTGCCTAGTGCTCAGCAGAAAATCATATTTCTAACCTAAAGACAAACTCTTTTTAAACAAAAGTTGTTTGTGAAATGTAGATGAAGGTGCGGATGACTACAGTTGACTGTGCAGTGAGAGAGAGGTCCACCTGGTCCTTCACACCTGGGTTCTGCTGGCCTGATCTGCAGAAGATTTGGCTATGTATTGCAAAGGCCAAATCTGAAAAGTTTGGCAACGGTATGGACACTGCACACATAAGTGTAGCCCTCCACTCTTTGGCATTAGCAGTATTTGTCCACCTAAAAATGTTGAAAATTATACCTACATGGCTCAGTATATCACGTGCTTATGTATGGACAACTTTAAGCCATTCAGTGTGTAGAAAAAAGTTGTTTAATTTGGCAAACAGCTCAAAATAAGTGACGGTTTTGATTTTGGGGCTGCAATTATCACCTGCTAGAGACCGATAATAGGCACCTCTGGCAGGCTAAAGCTGGCCATGCACTGGTAGATTTTCGTCCGATTATTCATATAAAAATCTCATCAGAACAGTTGACAATGCCCTCAGATTTTATTTCTTTAAAATTCTTTATTATAAACCAAAGGGCAAGGTACAGAGAACAAAAACATAGAGGCCACATGGCCTCGCACTTTACAAAATCAACAGACCCGCCAGCGTGTAAGAAAAAGAGGAAAAGAAAAAGGGGACAGCAGGTACCCCTACCTCAAAAAACAACTAATACCCGCATCAGGTCTGTTCGTTCGCCCTCAGAGATTTGATGACTGTCGTTTGGAATTTTGTTTGGTTTTAAAATTCGATTTTGGAATGAATGGAGTTCGTGAACGAGAACTACATTCACTGTTTTTTGATCCTGCTCCATCAAATTTTTTCATTACTACAGTCAAAAACCATCATCAGTTTGACCCCATTAACTATTAATGTTTTGCAAACGAAAGTTTACTGGTATATGGCCAGCTTAAGGGATACCATTGCTTTGCAGAAGTACTGGCCTTGAGGGTGCAAATGCTAGGTGATGATTGCTGTAGGTCCCATGACTGTTAGGTGTCACTCAATGATGGACAGAAATTTGCTACCAATTGTTCTCAGGAAGATTCAGTATATGGCCATTTATGGCCACCCCCATTCTGGTAGATTAAGATGCTATAAGTTCTGCTAAATTGCTGCCAGCTTCCTTTTATGCTGTAACATCATGAAGCGCTGCGGTCTTTCCTGCCCCTACTGTCATACTGGTATTAACAGTAGTTGACTAGAGGTAAGATAAGGAAATATTTATTTTATATTTACGGATGTTACACTGGTTTCTTGTAGAAACTGAAGGAAGGATGTGACAATTGACAGGAAAGCTGCTGCACATAATGGGTAGTTAGTTCAAATTCTTTGGTAAATTGTAGACTGGGATCCAAAAAAGCCCCTGCATTTTAAGCACAGCTCTCCATATTGGTCAAGCCAAGATGACCTGAAGGTCTTTCCTTGGTTATTAGAACATACTGCCCTTAGTTCATAGAAAACAGAACTTGTTATTAAAGACTCTAACTTTGTTTTCCTGTTAACAGAGGATGACCAGAGAGAGAAGTCCATGTCACACCATACAGTACAGCAGCTGATTATAGAGAAAGAACAAGCACTCTCTGACTTGAATTCAGTGGAGAAGTCACTGGCAGAACTCTTTCGGAGATACGAGAAAATGAAAGATGTGCTGGAAGGCTTCCGAAAGGCAAGTGGCCGAGTGGCCTTGAAACAATATACCACAGTCTGTATGGAACAATTCTTTCTTCAGATACTTTAGATAACAAACCCTGCCTGTTTTAATAGTCTTTAAACTTGTTGCTTTTTTTGTAAAGCTATTTTAAATGACTAGATCATTTCCTTAATCTTTTGACTCTATCGACAGAATGAGGAGGTGCTGAAGAAGTGTGCTCAGGAATATCTGGCACGAGTGAAGAAGGAGGAACAGCGGTACCATGCTCTGAAAATTCATGCTGAGGAAAAACTTGATAGGTAGGATAATATGATACAGCAAAATAAGATGTAATATTTATTATAGGAACAGCCAGTTTTTTATTTCTTAGAAAAGAAAGCTAATTGACAGCTGTTAGATATGGCAGCAATTCTTGTGATATGTGTTTCATAATTGTTCCTGCATTGTATTTGACAGTGTTTGGTCTTACCCTACAGGGCTAATGCAGATATTGCCCAGGTGCGTGGTAAGTCTCAGCAGGAACAGGTAGCCTACCAAGCCAGTCTGAGGAAGGAGCAGCTCAGAGTTGATGCTTTGGAGAGGGCCTTGGAACAAAAGGTTAGACATTGTTTTGAATTCTCTTAAAGCGGACCTTTACCCATATCTTTAAATTAACAATGAACACACCTTTAGAAATGTTTAGTAATGACAATCTACAAACACATACTTATAAATAACTGCAGGCTTTGTATTCTTTGCATTCCTTATTTCTCTTCTTCACCAGTCTTCTGACAGTGGCCATGTTTACTAAGGGCAGGTTACTAGCTCTCCTTTTTACTTTCTGGATTTCTGGCACATGTGACTAGGACATGTGACCATGCACATCATCTCAGGGAAGGAAAATGCCTTTCCCTGAGATCTCCTGAGATTACAGATGAGATTTCCCAGCAATGCTCTGCTGATGATAAGGCAATCCCAGTGTGCATTGCGTTGTCAAACTGAAGTAATTTGCCTTTTCAAAGCAGGAAGTGAATGCTCTGCAAGTGTAAGTATTTCAAAATCACAGCATTTTACACCTGACATGTCTATGTTATTATTAATCATCACACATAGAGGGATGCATTGGTAGAATTTTATTTTTGAGTGTAAAGGTCCGCTTTGAGTGTAACATAGTGTTGTTCAGCACTTTCTTTTTGAATACCTTGTGTTCTATTTCTCAGAAACTCAACTTTTTGACCTTATTGCTTTATGGATTCAATTGTCTTTTTCCTTTTTTTGAGACCCTATTCCTCAGTGTTCCAAATTGTTCCATTCCCGTAAAACCTCTTAATCAATAAAGCAGTGTTAAGAACAGCACCTGGGAATGATGTGTCCCTTCTTGCAGGTTCCAGCCTTGTTGCAGGTCTGTCTACAGATCTAGAGGTTTAACTCCTTCCCACCTGGAATCAGTATATTCAAGTTTTTCCAGCACAATGTGCCTGGCGCCAGCTGCCACTTTGTGTGGCTGGTGGCTCCTGGTCACGTGTCACTAATAGGACCCGCTTATGCTCAGGGTGCTCACATTAGTGGTTCTTGATCGAAATGTCAGCAATGACGTAGTGATCACACGGAGACTTCCTTGACAAAAAAAAATCCTTTAGCCTACATATGAAACTGCAGATGCTGAAGGTGGCAGTGTTCATTTGATCAATATTGTAATTGTCAGATACAATTACAGTATTACAAAATAATAAATACAAAATAGGGAACTTTTTGTATATTTTTTTGAAAAAAGCTGTTTTTTTAAAATAAAAACAGTGTACCAATAAAAGGTATATTTGTCCTTAAAGAAATATCAAAATTATTTAGGTATGCATATTAGACATTGCATTTTGGTCAAGTGCAGTAGATTGATGCTGCTAAATTTGGCCTGGGCATTAAGGCTTCTTAATGACCTCTGTTCAAGAAAGGGTTCATTCACCAAAGTATTACGCATGCAATATTTTCTTCACTTTGCATTTTTTTCAAATCAGAATTAGATTTTTCAATTCCCTAAAGGCATCACTGCTTAAATCAGTTGAATTTACTACATGATAGTATAAGTTCTCTCAGTAAGTATATGTAACTACACAACTGTCCAATCAATTTGTGTCCAATCAGTCAGTCCCTTGCACTACATAGTTGTTGTAAAGGAGATTGTATAGTCAGCTGGTAACTTGTGATGAGCTAACAGTGAAAATATTCTTACTTCCCCTCCATGGATGCGACATTCACAAACTCCCTCGCTGGCACCGACATCTTTGCCCGGTCTTCCTCCAGAATGAGTGTCTTTGGCCATTCAGCATATGCCAAAATTGTACACTGAACTGTGAAGCGCAGTGCATATTGCCCAGAAGATCGTAAACAGGCCGGTAGCAATCCTTTATTGCAGAAGAAACATAATAGAGTAATCTCCCAGTTATCTGGTAACCATGGGGATTGGTAGATGCTGGATAACTGTTGTTTTCGGTTGCTTGGGAGTTACTACTAACTCTCGATCAACAACCCACCGCGCCCCATTTATCTGCTGGCTAGATTCTGCTATTGGCTATTTCAAATTGCCATAGCCAGTAGCAGGAATCTAGCTGTTGGCAGCAAGATGTAAACAGAGAATTTCATTAGCAACTTAATTAATTTAGTTGCTAAAATTTTTTTTCAGTGTGCACGTCTATCACGAATCTGGCAAAATTATTGAGGACATATTATGTCCTCAATTTATTTTTCTGATTACTTGAGAGTTCTGGTTGCTTGAATGCCGAATAATGACGTTTACTGTATGTCTCTTCTGTAATAAAAAGCCTACCTGTTTGTAAATTTTTTAAGTTCCACTTTAAGTTATTTCCAGTCATTTCCTGTTGTGTCTCTTTGGTAAGAATTGATCTACAAATTGACCAATTTCCACTCTATCCAAAGCAAAAAAAAAGGTTGACTACAGGTGTACATTATGATCAAAATGGGTCTGTTCTTATGTCAAACATATTTGATTCTCACTCAATTTCTATTGTGTTTTCAGAATAAAGAGGTTGAAGAGCTCACCAAGATTTGTGATGAACTTATTGCTAAGATGGGAAAGAGTTAACCTGGTGCTTCATCTTTTGGGATGCTTGGTTTTCAAGCAGAGTGCAATCTGGATGATGTAGGGAAGGACTGATCCATTTTATGTGTACCTTGGATATAGAGAAGTGGCACCTGCGACTAATCGTGTCACAAGAAGCATATGATGCCAGCTTCCTTTCCGCATGCCCTTCCTGTATCAGGAAGGCAGAAAAAAAACTGGCCTTGCATCTCCATGCGTTTTTATCTTATTTTATATGGGAGTTATCCTTCGTTCTGCATTGTGTCAAAGAGCTGTGAGCTCATTCTACGTCCTGCTGGGCAAGACTGCATCATGTTTTAAACTCTTTATAAGAGGCTGAGGGGTTGCTTTCTTCACTGGATTGCTATTTAAGTAGGTCGAAAGATGAAAGATGTCCAGCTCATACTCGCATGATTTGGAGTGCTGTAAATAAATCTGTATTATGCAAACACTGGAGAACCCATTTTTCCCCTTTGAGAAATCTCTTGCTGGAATTGCTACCATCTTGTTATTGTTCTTACTTCTGATAAAATCGATTTGTCTGTTTGAGAGCTGCACTATCCTGAAATACACAAGAATAGCTTCCAGATTTGCCAAATATCTGTACATTGCCGGCAAATAAATGGTTTAACCCTGCTGCTGATTGGCACATATTGTCTGAGTCCTTCTGTATTGGCATCCTAGGTGCAGACACATTACTTTTAGAGCAAACGCCATCCGAACATTTTAATAACTATTGAAACACTTATGATGGAAATGTGTAAACCTTTAAAGGTTTTGTAAACCACATACCCTGCAGTGCAATATAGCAGAAGACAAGTGACCGCACTATTCAGAGGATGACATTCAACCACTGCCCTGCCTCCTGCCTGCTTTTTGGTCCCGCATCCTGTCTTCTCTTTGGCACCACCTCCTGTCTGCTCTTTAGACTCCTGCTTGCCTATTGGTCTCACATCCTGTCTTTTTTTTGGATTAGCTAGCCAACATCATCAATGTCTACTCTAAGCTGTCTAGCTCTTGTTAGCCCATCAAAGTATCTCCACAGTAAAATGCTGTGCTGGAGTTGAAGTTATGCCTACTGCAATCCTAATTTCACCTTTGGGGTCCGTTCACAGATGTGTAACGCGTGTTTAACTGCAACATCCAGTAACGCGACATACATCTGTTGATGTGCCTCTATTCCATTCATTTTGAATTGCACCTCAAGGCATCTCCAGTGCAATGTATCACAGCGTATGCTGTGTGTTGCAGTGTACTGCAGTGCAAAAGAATCCAGTCTGCAATAAAGTTTGTTGAGTGTTGAGGTCTGTTGCGGCCCATTCATTTTGAATAGGCTGCCTAAGACAGCAAACGGCAGTGGGCGTCATGGTGTGACATGTTAATGACATGGTGTGACATGGTTAATTAGGCATGTAACAACATTTAAAGACAGATTTTGTGTAATTTTACTGATCTGAAAAATGAATTGATCACTGAAATATTTTTATAAGTTAACTGAAAGGTGTTATATGAGTTTGCTCAGACTTGTTTGTTTGGTGTGAAAAAAAAGGCATGCAAAGCTACAAGCACTCTACAGCAGGGGCGCCCACTATTTTCCGTTCCCCGCTGGGGAGAGCAGCGGGGATCCAGAGAAGCGGCGGGAGGAGAGGACATGGCGATCTACCAGTGATCGCTACGCGATCGACTGGTAGATCGCGATCGACCTTGTGGGCACCCCTGCTCTACAGCATCCTTACACTAAATATGCTGCAGATACATGCAGTACATACTAGACCCTTGATTACATATGTGATTTTCCATGTCAGTCAAAGCAAAAGGTTCCTTTTTAATGCTACTTTTCATGCACCACACACTTATCTTTCCTGTTACTGCCTACGTCAGATATCAGGAGCAAGGAAAGACAGCCCTTTGTTAGTTCTGGGTACCTCTAGTTAGAGCTTACATAGGGTGGAGGTTCTATATGACAACACTGGGCCAAGCACCAGCACTGTTGCACGAGGGAAAGGAAGCAAGTCACGTGTTTCCCCAAACCTGGAAAAAACAGGTATTTTCTTTGCTCCTGGCGCCTGAACGGAGTGGTGTGGAAGTGAAATAAAGAGGAGTATAAACTGATCTTAGGGGGGAGAGGGCAATAATGTAGACCTGTTTTTTTTTACCCTGGAAGGGCAACGTATAACCACCACAGTTAAAATATATTTATGGAAACTAATATAATTCTGAGTAGCCAGTTTTATGATCCAGCACCCCCCTACAGAGGCACTACCCTTCTCTTTATCCCAAGCTTGTTTTGGCTGGAGTTGTGTTTAAACGTTTCAATAGCAAAATCTACCAGAACACAATTTGTGAAATTGGCTGTATTGGTTTATTTTGACCAACTGTTTTTCCTCAGGATTAGGCTGACACGTTTCTGTAGATGTAGATATGCAGGCAATAAAAGAATGCATATTTACAACAGGAAAGTAATAGAATGATATAGAAGCAATCTGAAAGAGGCAAACCAACTTTTTAGCATTGTCCCCTTGGACTTAAATGTGACTTGAATGTATTTGTTTCACTCATTTTTCAAAACACAGATCCCATTTAAATGGTCACTCCATTAATATTTTAGTTTTTTTTTAAAGATCACTATGACAAGTGAGCATGTCCCTATTCCTTTACTAAATCAACCCCAATATTTTGTTGATTTGTCTCTGTGTCAAAATGATTTCCAGAGGTTTCATCCATGATAATATATTGTGACAAAAAACTTGTGGTATCACGCCTGTTTTTGGCCTAAAGTTTGGTGGAAATATTCAATTGTATTCTTCATGCTGTATCCTTCACAAGTTGGGTACCCATTGTGTCAAAACTCCAATTTGCATATGTAAATTTAAAGTTGCTTCTACACTACCAAAGGAAGTGCCAAGTGTCCTAGCAATATGGTATATTGTGATTTGCTGATTACCAGTAACAAGTTCCTCAGATTTGGAGAACATTTCTGCTGTTCTGCTTGTTCCTGGTGCATGGATCGTCTTCATATGGTGTTGATCCTCTTGTAAACTCTTCATTTCATGGAATACACCAAACCAGAGTCTTCTAAAGCCACGCACAAATCTGCTTGCATCCCTTAGGCAGACATTCCTTTCAGTCACAAATATTTTATAACTGCATGCTGCGCCACTTGTTTCCAAAATTCCTTACTTTCCTTCACAACTTCATTCACACAAAGCCCATAAGAGAAAAACAAGCTGTTAGCCATGCCATTTGGACAACAGTCTGATAAAGGATTACCCTACTTAACCATAAAATAGAAGACAGAGGTCACAAGGTGCTAAGAGTGATTTTATAAACCTACAGGTGACCAAGACCTTTAAGGGACTGTTGAAGGATTTTACAATTACAACATGTTTGTGTCTTTCCATCTTCGGAGCAGCAGTGACGCGACGCTCGGCGAGGTAAGTAAGAAGAAACCTGACCACTGGACCACACTGACTCGAGTATAAGCCGAGGGGGGCACTTTTCAGCAAAAAAAATGGGCTGAAAATCTCGGCTTATACTCGAGTATATACGGTAAATGTGTTTTAAAATGCCGATTTCTTCTGTAAGTTTTTCAGTTATTCGTTCATATTCATCATTTCTTTTTAGTTTAGCCTTACACACATATTTAGGTTTCAAACAAGATTTGTTTTATTAGTGCTGAACACTACAGCACCCAAAGGTTTGTCCTATAGTTATACAATGAGAAATTGTGCAAATATGTCAGATAAGAGTGTTTTATAGAAGAGTATAGTACAGTAAGGTGCAGTACAACAGAGCAGTGATATGTCAATGTAGCTATGGGCTAACAGTCTTTTATGTTGATTTCCTTTATGAGCCTTCCTTTTGGGAGGCTGCTAATCATGTTAAAGAACCAATAGGGAGATGGAGACAAGCTTGACCTTAAGAGAAAAAATTGCATAATTTCAGCTACCTATTTCTGGATCTACTGTAGGTTTTCAATAAAGGTAATGTTCTACTTTTGAATGTTTTCATCAATTGCCCAGGTATGTGGCAGGTTTACTTTAAGTAAATTCAAACTCTTTCTGTTTCCTCTAAACTACATAGGTTCATGGTTACCGCTCTCCTTTAAACTGGTCCCTCTGGACATGAGGCAAATCTGCTGGTGCTAGCTGGGGGTTGATTGGGTACTGGTGCATATATACGTGGAATTAATGTATAACAATCTAATACCAACCCAGGAAATTAAATCCATACACTAAAAAATAAAAGTAAAAAATTGAAACCATGTTTGTTGGTTAATTCCTTCCTTGTACCACTTTACTATTACATTTAGAAATATTGCTTTAGCAAAGAAATACATGATTATGATTTAATATTGAGAAAGGATTAATAGGAAGACAGAGGGAGTGAATTCTGGTTTTTATAAAATGTATTAGGAGAACATAGGTATGCAACGATTGGCACACCTATGTTCTAATAAATGTTATAAAGACCAGAATTCCAAAGAGAAACGGGAAGACGGTACTCATATCTGCAAAACACAAACATATTAGTAAAAACATTCAATTTGTTTAACATAAGAAAGGGTTTTTTTGACATTCAGAAATTCTCCTGGTTAAAACCATGAAAAGACCCATTACCATAGCTGTGTGCATTACAGATAATCTTGCATATGCCGATTATTATTCATCACATTTCTTGGAACAAAGTCCACTTTTCCAAGGATGCACATGCAAGTGATAAGAATAATCTTATTAAAAAAGCAAACATATCATATAAGTGTACATAGGTTTCTAGGCAATTATCTGATGTGTATATAATTAAGTATCAAAACACAGTCCTCATATAATAGATAATTATGTGGCTGATTTACGTAATCAGCAGTACAGCATGTTCCCTTTGCAAAGTGAATTTCCACTTTGCAATGGATTTTTCACTTAGCCCTGTGAATGTGTGCTAACTTCTTTCATCCATTCATATGCAAGCAAAAATCCTGTCTATTTCATTTTCCTTGCGTGTGATTCTGTATGCTCTGCAAAGTGACATTTCAACACATATACAAAGGTAAGGGAAAATTCCCTTACATAGTGAGCATGTTCCTTTAGTAAATCCAGGCACAATGACCTGTTTTAAGACATATGTCCTTAAATAGGACAATAAAGGTTTCCCCTGTATTAAAGGGCATAACAGACATGATCATTACTGCAGAATAACAATACCATACACCAGCCTTTCTCAACCAGAGTGCCGCAGCAGCCTGGTGTTCCTTCTGCCTCCTCCACCAATCCAGGGAGGGTTGGAGCAAATCAGGAAAGTACAGAGGTTAACCTTCATCCGGGCCTGCTCTGCCTCACACCTCCAGCAAAGCTGTGGATCCTGGTGTGATAGTAGGACCTCTGTCTGGCTCCGTTTACCAAAAATACATTTTCCTCCATTGCCTGGATGTAGCTCGGGCTGTGTGAGCCTATCTCTCAGCCACTGTTTTTTTTTCCAGAAAGACTGATTCACTTCTCATTTTGTATGGTCCCTGCAAGGGTACACTGGCTTCTCATTTCACTATCTCTAGGTAGCTCAGACAGACTGTCATCCAAGCTTATGGTCTTAATAATTGGGTTCCACCTTTTCCTGTCAATGCGCACTCTACTAGTTCTGTAAGTGCTTATT